TAACAAAAAACAAGATGCAAATTTGTAACATAGTTCATGATTCAAGATTTTCCAGAGTATCTTTGGCTTCTTTAAGTAAAATTGGTTGAGGGGAATCATATCTACAGGTACCTGACTGAAATCTTTCTTAAAATGATTTACATATTCAGGAGATGTCTAAAAGAAAGAGGGAGAGAGTAAATTTGAGTTCTCCATAGCATTTGATCAAAGTGAATATCTTCAGTGAATCAAAATATATCAAAAAAGAAAGAGAGAGAGAGTAAATTTGAGTTCTCCATAGCATTTGATCATAGTGGGTATCTCCAGTGAATCAAAATAAAGTAAACACGCTTATAGCGAATATGGTTATAATGAATTGACGCTTACAACAAAGTGATTTTCATTCACTTTGACTTTAAAATATAATGTAAACTTAACGGATATAACGAATTACACTTATGAAGCGAAATCGTTCGTCCCTGGCACTTTGTTATAAGCGAGTTTTACTGTATGTCTAAAGGAAAGAGGGAGAGAGTAAATTTGAGTTCTCCATGGCATTTGATCATAGTGGGTATCTTCCGTGATTCAAAATACATAAAAATTCAATTTACTTTTTTGTCTAAAAATTTATTCAGTTAAAAAGGTAGATGTTAAAAGTATATGTTTAAAAAAAGAAGTTTCTGAAAGTACTTCTGTAAACTAACTTTTATTCTTCCCTGACATCTGATGTTTATAAGCTGCAACTTTGATGTCGGAAGTTTTTGTTGCAACATTGTAATTAACTATTTCATTGACAGAAAAAGAACATTTATAAACTTCTATTGTTTGTATTTGCAATTGAAGAACTATATAAAGCTTTGATTGAAGCAAAATTATATTATTGTCATCCTGTACAATATTGACTTCTTATAATATACTATGCATTCCATTGTACAGAAATATTTCTTCTGCAACAGTTTAATACTTTACTTTATTGTAATTGATCATAAAGGTTTGTTTTATTACATACAGATTTATCATAATAGTACATCTTAACGACGGAGGACCTAATTCATTTGTGCAATAGATTTTTTATTCAAATTTTAATATGAGGTAAAGTGACTTTTGGTGAGTTAAAGTCAATAAAAAAATCATATGGTCATCGATGTAGATTTTTAATGGGGAGTGTTTCAAAAGTTGGCGATGGAAATTGATAATTACTGTAGGAAGTAATGGGGAATTGCCAGTGTAGGGTATAAGAGTGATCATTGAAAAAAATCTGCAATAGAATTTTTATTCATATAAAAGGAAAATGTTAACAAGACAATTTACCAGCAGATTATGCCAAAAAATAAATGGGTCATCGGCTTAGATTTTTTCAGGGGGGCATGTCAAACTCAGGTGTAGGGCACATTTTGGGGGAAATTTTCAGTGAAAATACCTTGGCCAAATAAATCATTTAATATATATAAAATCAACAAATGAATATAAATCAAAGTTTATTTACAATATTTTTGAGTTTGAATATCTTTAAAAGAATTAAAAATGTATATTTTTTATCTTTTGCAATACATAATTAAGTCAATTTGATTCAAGGCATATGCACGGTTTTCTGCGCAGTGGTGCGAAATTTCAAATTAGGTCCGTCGTCCTTAACAGCAAAATAAAATTCTCAAAAATGCAGCTCATATTGCTTTAAGGTGATATAAAGCCTTATACCATGTAGAAGTTCTGGAATATTTAGGATTTTTTATCTGGAAACAGTGGTTTGATTTCTGGTGTTTTGACAGTGTACGTCAAATGAGAACTCTGAAGCACTGTCAGGGTGTTTCATTTTATTTCTTTTTAGTCCCTTACCAGTGAAACCAGAAGGGGCTATATGTTTCCTCCTCGTCCATCCATCAGTCTGTCCCACTTGGTTTTATGCAATTTTTTCTTAATGCTTGCAGATATTGAGCTAATTTTTAGCATGTGAGTGTACCTTGATGAGTTACAATCAAGTTTTCATTTTGTTCCGCTTCAGTGATTTTTGACAGTCCTTCAAGATACAAAAATATGTTAGTAAAAATTTATGAAAACAATTGAAAACATCTTAAAAATCTATTTTTGTGTAACAGAATAAATATTCTTTCAGTATATAAACTCAAGACTTAGACTAAAGGATATTATGGTAGCAACACTGAAATTTTCAAGATTCCACTGAAAAAGATATATTCTTAGGCCATTATTTACACACTGAATTGCCTACAATTAAGGAGCATGTGACAGGTATGACTGGTCGGCAGCGTTTTTGGAGGTTTGCTCTGTTTGCTCTGCTCCAAATTTGCATTGTTTAAATGGACTATGAGCTTGAATACTGTTTGTTATCTTCTTCATATTTCATCCAAAGTTTTCTCTATACAGCTTGAATACTTTGTAAGATTTTTATGGTGCTAGAAAGCCAGAATAATGACCATTTGGTGTGTGGTCTTAATTAGTTATATTGATTAAGTTTCTATATCATTAAACATGAAGACAGAGGCTTGGGGGAGTTTTTGCAGAGGTTTAATGCTAAGTCTCACCAGCTCAGACTTTGTTAGATTCTTACATCCGTTATAAGCCTTAATAAAAGTCATTATTTTATCTCTGTGATGTATTGCTCTACATTTTATAAAAAGCACAATTATGAGACATCGGAGCTTCTATGATACTTGTATCCTCATCATTACAGCATACTCTTTAAGTTATACCAGACTGAACAAAGGGAATCCTGACTTCACAATATGAAGGGAATTGATTTATTTAAGATACAGTTATGTCTGCCATTCTATCTATCTTCTGTATTTTGCTATTTGACCTCAAAACATTTTTTTGACATTGATTTTTCTTTTAAAGTGTGGGAGATTGGTAAAAGATGTGGGAGGATAGGACAGAATAATGGCTGCACTGAGACAATCTGAGTGACAGTTAAGACACGAGAAGTTAATATAATACTAGATTGTAAGACTTATGACAGCTGAATAGAGGAAATGTCCAAAGATACTGCTCTTTGTTGGAGTTGATGCCCAGAAAATCTCTCATTGTCTTCTAGAAAAGGAGATGATTTACAAATACATGAAATAAATGTCTAGACTTTGTTTGTAATTTTTTTTTTCATTGAAAGGTTATTTCTCTTCCAACCATAACTTTTTCATTGTTTTGATGTATGTAATAAGTACATTGCAGAAAATTTTGATAAGTCAGAAAAAAGTTAAAGGAAAACTAAGCCCCATATAGGCTCCCTCTGAATCATACCAAATTCTTCTTGATGTGGATCGAGTTGAGACTGTTTAATGGAATCTCATATAGATCTGTATTTGCATTTAACATGTAATTCATGGTTCTATATTAATATAAAAAGCTATCTGTATTGCCAAAATTGAATTCTCCAGTGATAGTGAGTGCCCCCCTCCCCCTCCTGTTTTCAATAGTTTGTATGCTAAAAAATACAAAGAAAAAATATTCTTTAATGTAGACCTGAAAAAGAAATTGACACAAAGAAATATTCTTTTGGTCTCCATGTTTCCCCTTTCAGATACATGTACATACATGTATATAATTAGGTTCCAATCCCTTTGACATACATATATAATTAGGTTACCATTTAGTGAATCCAAAGGTTACATAATTCCATTGTCCAGTGTTGTCCATATGATATCTGTAAGGAGGTCCATGGCTGTCCTTATGATATCTGTAAGGAGGTCCACTGCTGTCTTTATGATATCTGTAAGGAGGTCCACTGCTGTCTTTATGATATCTGTAAGGAAATCCACGGCTGTTCTTATGATATCTGTAAGGAAGTCCACTGCTGTCCTTATGATATCTGTAAGGAGGTCCACTGCTGTCCTTATGATATCTGTAAGGAGGTCCACTGCTGTCTTTATGATATCTGTAAGGAGGTCCACTGCTGTCCTTATGATATCTGTAAGGAGGTCCACTGCTGTCTTTATGATATCTGTAGGAAGGTCCACTGCTGTCTTTATGATATCTGTAAGGAAATCCACTGCTGTCCTTATGATATCTGTTAGGAAGTCCACTGCTGTCCTTATGATATCTGTAAGGAGGTCCACTGCTGTCCTTATGATATCTGTAAGGAGGTCCACTGCTGTCTTTATGATATCTCTAAGGAGGTCCACTGCTGTCCTTATGATATCTGTAAGGAGGTCCACTGCTGTCTTTATGATATCAGTAAGGAGGTCCACTGCTGTCCTTATGATATCTGTAAGGAGGTCCACTGCTGTCTTTATGATATCTGTAAGGAAGTTCACTGCTGTCTATATGACTCGTATAAGGTTTTCCACTGCTGTCCTTATGATATCTGTAAGGAAGTCCAATGTTGTCTTTATGATATCTGTAAGGAAGTCCACTGCTGTCCTTATGATATCTGTAAGGAGGTCCACTGCTGTCTTTATGATATCTGTAAGGAGGTCCACTGCTTCTTAATGATATCTGTAAGGAAGTCCACTGCTGTCTATATGACATCTATAAGGTTGTCCACTGCTGTCCTTATGATATCTCTAAGGAAGTCCAATGTTGTCTTTATGATATCTGTAAGGAAGTCCACTGCTGTCCTTATGATATCTGTAAGGAAGTCCAATGTTGTCTTTATGATATCTGTAAGGAAGTCCACTGCTGTCCTTATGATATCTGTAAGGAAGTCTACTACTGGCTATATGGTATCTATATAGTCCACTACTTGCTCTTGGTTGAGAGGTTATGATCACAGATTCACCCCTCCCCCCTTTCATTTTAGCTGCAGTTTGTAGATAATTGATTTAGTTAGTTACATTAGAAAGTCCCTTTTTTTTCAGATCTGCAACAATTGCAGCTTTTGTTTATATTCAATACTAAGTTAAAGTCCTCTATAATAATAAATTGTTAGTTTTGACCCTTTGTTTAAAAGAATTTTCTTTTTTCATTGTTATAAATATGATGAAAACTAAGGAGTTTTTATTAACATGTTGATTAGTGAAAATTTCATTGTAAATTGCATTACTTAGTTACAAATGTTTTGTCTTTTTCAGTCCCTGGAGAGCACGCGCCGGATGCTTAATATGTGTGAAGAGGTAAGTCATTCAATGTGCATTGTGAGGAGAAGGCCATCAGTCTATCTGTATGTACATAGTTTAATTGAATTATTATACATTTCATAAAGGTATTTCTTTTTGCATAATGTCAGGTTCTGAGCTATCCTTCTCTCTTTTCTATTTCTTTCATTCACTGTCCCCTGGCAGCCAATCATATACACTGCACATGACAACAGGTTATTATCTAGGTATTACACAGGGAATTTGATGAACCACCTTCCAGCCACATTGCAGTATGTGTACCTAATAACTGCACTCCTGCTACCCTAAGAAATTTATATATATTTAAAAGTTTCCAACTCTCTACACTGCCAATGATAGGCAAGGCTTAATTGAAACTACACACTCCCAAATAGAGGTACATTTTGTCGATGAGGTGAACCTGGAATGTTAGAGACTGTAGACTTGAAGTTTCTTTTTAAATTAATAGTACAAATTGAAATTGATTTAAAACTACATGTATTTTGTGTTTCTGTGTTTCCTTGATTTGAGTCCGCCCCTCAACCAATCAGCTTTGAAAAGGTTGGCCAATAGACAAGGATGTTTGCTTAAAACAGATGGGTTTGTTCAATTCACTGAAGAGCGAAAATAAACAGATTATTGAAATGAGTCATATCATTAAATTTATTATTATTACTAAAATGCCATGATTCTTATATTAGTGGTTATCATTTAAACAAAATGCTTTGTTTGATTGTTAGTACGGGAATTAATGGCGCAGCTGTTGCAGAAAAAACAAAATGTTTGAAACACTGATGCCCCCGTATGGCAGCTTATAGCGAAGTTTAAACTTTCTCAAATGCAAGTCAAACTCCAGGTCAAGAGATCAAAAATGTTGGTACCATAAGTAAGGTCTTGTCTCAAGGAATATGCCTGTGAAATGTGAAAGCCATAGCACCAACCATTGAAAAGATATGGAGAAGGTTAAAGATTTTCAAAAGTAAGTCAAAAATCAAGGTCAAGGTCAATGGGTCGAAATTGTTTGTATCAAAAGGAAAGTTTTGTCACAAGGAATACGCATGTGAAATATGAAAGTCCTACAATGTAACATCAACCATTCCAAAGTTAAGACCAAGGTTAAGGTTTTTCTAAAGTAGGTCAAACTCAAAGGTCAAAGTCATCAAAGTTGTTGGTATCCAAGAAGGTCTTATCAGAAGGAATAGGCATGTGAAGTATGTAAGCCCTGGCTCCAATTGTTCAAAAGTTATGGCCAAGGTTAAAGTTTTTCAAAAGTAGGTCAAATTCCAAGGTCAAAGGGTCAAAGTTTTTGGTATCCAAAGGAAGGTCTTGTCACAAGGAATATACTAGTGAAGTATGAAAGCCCCAGCATCAACTGTTCAAAAGTTATGGCCAAGATTAAAGTTGCTTAAAATTTTGTAAAACTGGGTCAAACGCCAAGTTCAAGGTCAAAAGGTCAAGCAAGATGGTACCCAAAGAAAGGTCTTGTCACAATTAATACGCATGAAATATGAAAGCCATAGCTCTAACCAATCAAAAGTTAAAGGGAAGGTTAAAGTTTTTGCGGACAAACAGACAGACAGATGGATGGACAGGGCAAAAACATTATGCCTCTGAATATTTGATTACGGGGGCATAAAAATTCTGTGGAATGAATGTGCAGTAGTCAGAATTTTCTCTTTGCACAGACGTTGTCATTAGAGCTCGCAGTGATGAGTGGCGCTTTACACCGCTGGCTGCACTCGCTGCTACTTCACACAAAGATTGTTCATGACCTGAAGGTGTGTCATGACCTTGACCCAAGGTCATTTGGGCAAGTACAAGGTCACTGAGTGATAGAAAAAGTTCAAAATTCATGTCCAGTCGATCTCTTTCTTATGGATAAACTTGGTGAGTTCCTCGTTTACTGAAAGATTGCTTATGTATGACTGGAGAGTGTGTCATGACCTCAATTCAAGATCATTTAAGCAAGTTCAAGGTCATTGACAGAAAAAGTTCATAATCTGTGTCTGGTCTATATCTTTCTTATACAGAATAATGCTGGGATGTTGGGAGTTTCCACTTCACACAAAGATTGCTTATGACCTGAGGGTGTGTCATGATCTTGACCTATAGTCACTGTAGAAAAAAATGGATAATAATGCATCCAAACTTTCCAATAGAGAAATACTTGAAAAATTGTTATTTATTTTTTCAATGTAATATAAAACACAGTTAGTATTGATGGTTTATTAGACTGTGCCTTAGTTTCATTCATTAAAAAAATATAATGAGCAATTATTCTATGAGTAAATTTTCACTCTGACTAAATGTTTAAACAAATTGAGAACACCTCTTAGATCCATCCAATACTAGTATTAGTGATTGGCACCTTCTCTGAAAAACCCAGCAGGTTTTGGACAGTTCTAGTTTTAATAGTAATTGTCACCTGAACACTTACCAACAAGAGACATACGATTTATGCTTAGTTTCAGGGTTTTTTTTTCCTTTAAATTTATAGATTTTTCTTGTTAAGAGTTTCTATAATATATATTGTATAGAGTATTTTAGAATGAACAGAGTAACAATACTATGATTATCAGTTCAGGTGATGTCCTCCATTTAATATTTATAGTATTACCGGTAGGTATGTGAAACCACAGTATTTGATTTAGTCAGTGAAGAATCAGGTTACCTTTGATTTGTAATAGATACCCAGGAATCAAGGGAATGTGTTATTTGGGATTATTTTCTTCAGTGAATTCTAGATTAAGGTTAAGAAAACCATTACATGCTATGTTTTCATGAGCACTGATCATTCTCCATGTTTTATTCAGACAGATAGCCAATAGATAGGTGTCAGCTAACTTAAGTGATACTTTCATATTAATCAGGCAGATCAAGAATTTCTTAACATTCCTTGTCCCTCTGTTCACTTATATAACATTTTGCTTTAACAATTATTTTTTTTTAAATGTAATTTGTAATTAAATTGCACACAATTTAATCTTAGTTACCTTATGTAGAAAAATTTGACAGAAATGGCCTTTCATCTTGACAGTTTTAAAAAGGAATAATTGTCAGTTATCCCAGTGAGAGTTACCTCTCTTATTACAGGGTGTGTGAACCTTAATGTAAAGAGGGAACAGTCCAAAAATAAGCAAAAATACTCCCAAAAGCAAAGAATTTTAACAATGCTAAGACATATGATGAAGTATTCTATGAAAATTCACAAAAAAGTTATCAGAATGTTATATGGTTTTTATATGTTGATCTGTAACAATGTTTGTTTGAAAGCAGTGGTTTTTGACAACAAATCATTGTGAGTTTGCAAATTATTTTTAAGCTCAGTGTATTCTTAAACTCTAAATCAATCATCTGAAAAATATGCAAATACAACTGTATAGTGTACAGCTCAAGAATTTGCATGATAATGTTGATAAATTTAAAAAAAAACTGATAAGAATGGAAATCAAAGGCTGCTTAAGGAAGAATTTTTTTTTTAAATTGAAGCAGAAAAAGTTTCTTGCACATATTTTACCTTGTTACATGTACATTGTCCTTAATTCATGTGCATATTATACATGTATTACTGGTTTAGAGGTCAGTATGATGATTTAGCTTCCGAAGGAGTACAACTGCAAGAGGTAAATATTGTACCTTAAGGGTAACTTAATCATCACAAAGACAAAAAAAAAAAATTAAAAAGTTTTATTTATGATTCAATGATTAATTGATACAAACTGCTTTGCAAATCTCACCATCTTGTTCTTTTCTCTGCCTAAATGACCTCATTGAGAGATGTAGGATTTCACTGAATGACAAAATTAAACATAACTAATATCAATTTGGAAGTTCCCAATCTATTTTTGGTCCAGTCAAATTTTAAAAAAAAAAAAAAAAATCAACGTTATATTCACCTGGAAAGTCAGACACAGGTGAGCATAATTTTTAATGATTCCTAGAACATTGGATTTCAGCCAATCAGAGAGTAAGAAATCACTCAATCATATTGATAGCAAATGTTGAAACTGTTCATGGATTTGCATTTTCATATCCTTTTTTAGCTCACCTGACTGAGCTCAAGTGAGCTTTTCCGATCAAAATTTGTTGTCTGTCTTCGTCGTTGGCGTTGCTGTTGTAAACTTTTCACAATTTCATATCTTCTTCTCCAGAACTACAGGGCCAATTTCAACCAAACTTGGCATAGAGTATGATTCAAGTTTGTTCAAATGAAGGGCCACGCCCTCCTCCAAGGGGAGATAATTATGAAATAGCGAAAAATTAATGGCATCATTGAAAAATCTTCTTCTCAAGAACCAGTGGGCCAGGAAAGATGAAACTCATGTGGAATTATTGTCAGGTAGTGTAGATTCAAGTTTGTTCAAATCATAACCCTCGGGGGTAGGATGGGGCCACAATGGACGATCAAAGTTTTACTTAGTAGTACATGTATATAGGAAAATTCTTAAAAAATCTTCTTCTCAAGAACAGCAAAGCATTGATTGGTCATATTTTTGTGAAAGTATCCTCAGGTGGTGTAGATTCAAGTTTGTTCAAATCATGAACCCTGGGGGTAGGGTGGAGCCACAATGGATGATCAAAGTTTAACATAGGAGTGTATGGGAAAAATCTTCAAAATCTTCTTCTCAAGAACAGCAAAGCTGTGATTGGTCATATTGATATGATTTATATGGAAGCATCCTCAGGTGGTGTAGAATCAAGTTTATTGAAATCATGACCCCCGGGGGTAGGATCAGGGGCCACAATGGACGATCAAAGTTTTACTTAGTAGTATATAGGATAAATCTTAAAAAATCCTCTTCTCAAGAACAGCAAAGCTATGATCGGTCATATTTATATGGATGCATCCTCAGGTGGTGTAGATTCAAGTTTGTTGAAATCATGACCCCCGGGAGTACAGTGCAGGGAACTAATTTTGTTACATAAACCAGCATCAGCATAAGAATTATTAGCATCAGGATCGAGCTAGCATCAGCATCAGCATTTAAAAAACAGCATTACCAGGATCAGCATCAGCAAGCAAAGGATAAAACCAGCATTGACCTACATAAAATCAGCATTATCCTACTAGCATCAGAAAATCAATGAGTTTTAATTCAGTAAAAAATTTAAAAAGAAAGAAAGAATATTGGTTAAAGTATTCACATTATTGATACATAGTGAGATATTATGATCAAATAATTGTAAAAGGCACTTTTATTGCTTTAAATGGCAATGCTGAAATTCATTATCTACTTCCGGTGGCATGATGCTACTTCCGGTAGCATTGACCTAATTATAAAACAGCATCAGGATAAGGATTACTAGCATTAAATCAGCAAGCACAGGAAGCATTCAAATCAGCAAGCAAAGGAAGCATTCAAATCAGCATCGATGCTGTAACAAAATTAGTTTCCTGCACTGTAGGATGGGGCCACAATGAACGATCAAAGTTTTACTTAGTAGTATATAGGGATAATCTTTAAAAATCTTCTTCTCAAGAACAGCAAAGCTTTGATCGGTCATATTTATATGGATGCATTCTCAGATAGTGTAGAATCACGTTTGTTGAAATCATGACCCCCAGGGGGTAGGGTGGGGACACAATGAAAGTTCCAACTGGTAATTGTAATGTTAAAAATACCAAAGTAATTCTAATTTAATGCATTATAATTCAAAGTAATTGATACCCGGTCTTGGTGTATAATGATTGGGGTGTCCATCCAAACTTCCTTCCAACCATATATCTATAACATTAGGGTAGACCTCTCTCTTGTCTGCAACTCCTTCTATACCACTGAATAAAATTCAATGGGACTTTCAAAGAATCTTTATTACATAGTGCCATTGAGCACCTCCTATTTTTCTTTTCATTTGGACAGATATTTGGGTTTCCTTATAGCATAACCTGGACATTGCTTTTCTTTCTTTAATATTGGGTCTCTTATTTGCAACTCCTCCTATACCACAGCAAACATGGACTTTGCCAATACATGTATTATATTCATATGGGAGCGGGGGTATCATTTTGTGAGTTCACTCTCACAGTACCTCTAGTTTGCTGTAGGGGTTTTTCTTAATATATAAAGAAATTCTTACTTTACCAGGAACATTCCACACTGGTTAATTTGGTTGCTAAATCAAATATTTTTTCCACTTTTTGTTTTTGTGTATATGTCCAAAAAGGATGTCATTTGTTCTTCAACCTTTTCCTTGAATTTAATTTGGTGCAGATAAATTTATATCTATCCTAAGTATACTTATATGTTAATTAAGTCTTGCAGTAAAAAAAAATTGACTCTGAGAATATTGGGAAAAATTAATCCTGAATGTTAATATATAATATCCATAAATAAAACAGTGAAATTATATCTATATATTTTTACAGAAATAAATGAATCTCTTTATTCCATTTTCATTTTCCATGAATTAAAATGTTTTGACATGCAACAGGCCAAGGAAGCAGGCATACAAACTCTTGTTATGATAGATGAACAGGGAGGTAAGCAGAAGAGCCTATTGTATTGGCTGTTCTGTTTGTTAGACACACTGGATATGTATCAGTAGTAATTTCTGTCACATTCACACTGTTTGCGTGTATTATTAGTGTTAATCATATGTTCAATGAACAGTCATTTGTTGTTTAAGTTAAGGTATCTTTCTTTGTAGTAAGAAACATTTGTTTCTTTTTGTTGTATGAATAAGTGCACAGAAACAAGTCTGTTTTTGTGAAATACTTTTATGTTCTGGTGTCACCCTCAAACAACTGTAGAGAAAAAAAAATTCACAAAGGAATCTTCTCTGAAAAAAAAAAAATCATTCATAACTTAGTCTTTGGCATATGTAACTGCAGAACTGTACCTACATATAATAATGTATAAGATATTGTGAGAGAAGAAGATTGTGAATTTTTGTTGAGGTTTTTTGATGTACTGAGTTGATCCTGAATGTTTTCTATCCTCTGTCCAGAGTAAGGAAGCGGGCATCAAGACATTAGTAATGCTTGATGAGCAAGGAGGTAAGATTACCATGACAACACATAACTGTGGTGGCTGCCCTCTGCTTACATTGTACACATACTAGCAAGTTTTTGGAATATCAATTTATATTCTATTTTATTATGAAAGACACTTAAATTATTCCAAATGAAGATTAAATATGTAATTTTGATAAGTTATTAAATGACAAAATAACTGTATTTGCACAAATTATTCAATACATATTTAAATCACCTCAGTCAGCTTCTGTTTTGAGTTTTTTCATCATTATTCAATGAAATTTTATGAAATGAATAAATTGACAATGGTCTATTATCTTAAATGTTTTCTGGAATACCATATTTTGTCAATTCAGAGAAGTACTTCTGTTTTATAAGGTCAAATAGAAATCTTTAATTCCAATACATGTTATCTGTAATAATTGTACAGAAAAAGTTTTAAAGTTTTATAATGATTACATTCCAAAAGCATGGGAGGAGTGTATTACATATCAAACTGTCTCTATTGCCTCCAGATTCCAGTCGCTGCAACATTTCACCGTGTCTACCAATGTACAGTGTAGCAGTAAACCATGTGCTTTTTAAAATCTTGTTTTTATTCTGTTTTGTAGGTTTTTATTATAATTTGCTGTTTTTTTTTTTATTTATTTATTTTTTTTTTTACTTTTATTTGCTTTGATTTAAGGGCCTAAAAAAATGTCGAGGACTTATCTAGTTGCACTGTGTATATAATTGTAAATTGTAACATGTTTATATGGTCATGGATTCCTATTTGTTTTCTCATTTTCCAAAAATGTCTCCAAGTTAATAGAGGTTTATAATTATTCTACAGCAAAGGTGCTAGGAGACATTATAGTGTATGGGATTTGCCATTATTGACTAGTGGATATGCTATATAGAATACCATATGACCTTCAGTCTCATATTTTATACAAAGACTTAGTTCAAGTTCAAAAATTTGATTAAGTTACAATGTCAAGATCAAAGGAAGTGGTGAAAATTTAATTTAAAAAAACAAACAAACAAAAACACTGAGTTTGAGTATTAGAAAGATATTTTTTACTGTCTTTTGAGGCTAAATAACAAAGATATTGACATAAATTAACCAAAATTCAACAGGTGACCAGTCTATAATTTTTATCCTAACCTAATTTTACTAATGTCCCCCCCCCCCCCCCCCCCTAGTGACAATTCTCTAGTTTGAAATGTTAGCTGTTTTAAAGTCATTCTACCCTCTTTGGGACATAAATGTATAAGGAGCCACTCTGAGAATCATTGCCTAGAGTCTAATTAGTGTACTTTGTAAGGCTGCAGACTGTCCAGAGTGACATAGGCTGTGTAAAGTGCACCTTATTTAGCTAGCATACTCTCTTGCATGTGACAGATTTACGACCAACTTTCATTTATTCTGGAAATGAAGCTCCTATTCTCAGCCTCTCAGTGTCCAGATTTGGCACTGTAATGACTGCACTAATATCGATTCTGCCATCAGGGATCTGGAATCTCAAAGGAAGTCATGGGAAAGTACAAGATGGAAATAAAAAACAAAAAAACAACGTATGATGTCTTCAAAATTATTCCTGAACATTTATGATCCAAGTTTTCAATATCATGCTCATTATTAGCACTGAAAGGACATTTACACTGCAGATTTGTGATCCGAAAAATATGGGATGGGCTACCATTTTCATCCATCCCAATTTTTTAGGACAAGTGACATACAGATTTGCAGCTTATTTATTTATCAAATGATGCATCATTGTTCTCTCTTTATTGTTCATATTCTTTCTTTCAAGAGTTACAAATGTTTTTTAATTAATAGCAATTGTTTTCTAAATAGGACGAGATAAAAAAAAATAAATCAGATGATGACAGTATTGATCTTGTCTCCCAACAATGAAGATGTTTTCTTGTATGAAAACTCTTCTCCTGATCGCTAAAAAAGTCTAAATAAGTTGATTAAATAATTATATCAATTAATCTTTTGGTAAATTGAGTATTTTTGTTTAAATTCATAGAAGGATGAAGCCTTTGCTGTATATATGTAAATTTTGTATTGCTTATGATAGCAAAAACCTCCAATAAGCAAGTTTTGCAAGAAAACAAAAAAATTCAAATTCAGTTGATTTTCATCATGCTAGAATCCATTTTTTTCATGAACATCATGTGTTCACTCTTACTTATGCCTTGACAGTGTACAAGGTACTTATAGCTATTTTCTGTTTTTATTTATTTTAATTTGTAAGCCTTTTTTACTTGTTTCACTTTTTTTTTGCATGTTGTATCGATGTTGTGATTTTGTTTTTAAAATCTTTCAGTCACAAGATGTTGGAATTAAAACCATCGTAATGTTGGATCAGCAAGGGGGTAAGGCAGCATGATCTATTGCATGTAGAGAGTTGATATTTTTAAACAGCATTTGATAAATTATAACTTAATAAAGTTGCTATTTATCATAACCCATATAATGGCTTCATATGGTTTGCTTACAAGTTATGATTGTGTATACTAAATAAATTGATTTATATTAGTGTAATTAATTACCATTGTTTTATGGAGGTGTATATTAAATCTGACTGAATAAATAATGTGTATTTAAAATGTATGTATTGCATTTCACATGTAATATTTTATCTCATACATGTGGTGAATACTACCCATAAGATAAACCTATGTTTTATCCACAGGTATGTGCTTTATCAATAGCGCTTCTGGTTTTGACACAACCCCTAGTTCAAGATGTAAATTTATCTAAACTTCTATTTGTGAAAGTTATTGCGTTATCGAATGAATGTTAATGAGCAAAAATGTTCAAAATGTTCATTAAAAAGAAAAAAGACTCATTTTAAATCAATGAAATGTCTTTTTTTTACTGGTTACCCCCTCCCCCCCCCCCCCCCCATAGAAAACGTTTGGCCCTAGCAATTTTACATTATACTGTATAACTTACCATGGATCTACAAGTAGCCTAGCACCAACACCATACAACATTGACTTTGTACAACTTCCAGTCAAAAGTTTGTATCAAAAGTTAATCTCCAACAGCAGATATCATTCCAAGATTTCATATTTTGTATCTACAGATAACTTTCTTTTCGGCATGTCAAGGTCAACAGTGCAACGTCATCAATTTACGTGTCATCCATTTGGGTAGAAATCAATCAACATAGTTTCACAGGGGTTATCTCAAAGTTTTGTTAAAAACGAAAATCGTATGAAATAAATAGAACATCTATAATTGTATGATTTGATATTTGCTTTATCCACCAAGTTGAAATGGTGTATATTTGCCCAGCAAGCCTCGCGAATATACACCATTTTAACTTGTTGGATAAAGCAAATATCAAATTGCACAATATAAATATCCTCTATCTATACAAAATGTAATTTTTTTTGTTAACTAGCATTTCTTCTTATACCCTTATTACTAGATTGTTGGTTACCAAGTTTGCTTGTTAAACAATCAGAAAAATAGAGTTCCTCTTTGAATATCAAAACTGCATTGTAAATTGCATTACAACAACTATATATATTGTAATATATATATATATAATATAATATAAATGCTAAATACTTCACCATTTTATCTTAAAATAGAACAATTGGACCGAATTGAAGAGGGTATGGACCAAATAAACCAGGACATGAGAGATGCAGAGAAAAACTTAGAGGGGCTTGAAAAGTGTTGTGGGCTCTGTGTGTTACCATGGAAACGGTTTGTATTTAAAATAATTTTTGCCAGGTACCCTTTCATGCAAGAGGAAGATATTTTATCTCATCCAACTACATTTTTGGTTGAAGGGTTGAACTTTTGTGTTGCACTTACTAGTTAGCTCAAGTAAGCTTTTTTGATCACATTTTGTCTGACATCTGTCTGTAAACTTTTCACATTTTTTACTTCTTCTTAAGAACCATGGGGCCATTTTCAATCAAACTTGCCACAAAGCACCATTGGGTGAAGGGAATTCAAGTTTGTTCAAATGAAGGCCCCGTACCCTCTTTCAATGGGAGATAATTAAGAATTAATGAAAATTTTGTGGCATCATTTAAAAATCTTCTTCTCAATAACCACTGGGCCAGAAAAGCTAAAACTTATGTGAAACCTTCATTACATAATGTAAATTCAAAGTTATTCAAATCATGACCCCCGGGGTAGGATGGGGCCACATACGAATATATAGGGAAAAAATCTTTAAAAACCTTCTTCTCAAGAACAACAGTCATAATAAGCCATATTGATAAGGAAAAATCTTGAGGCAGTGTAAATTCAAATTTGTAGAAATCTTGACCATTGGGAGTAGGGTGGAGACATAATGGGGGATCAAAGTTTTACATAGGAATATATACCGGTAGGAAGAAATCCTTAAAAAACTTCTGAAGAAGAATAACAGTCATGATAAGTCTTATTGGTATGGAAGAATCCTCAGGTAGTGAAGATTCAAAGAGCTAGAGCCACGAACCATCGAAATGTGCCTTAACTCCAAAATCAATGAGGATTTCAATATAGATAGCATAGACTTTTAGCTTTTCATTACTGTTTTTCTTTTTTAGATATCTATTATACTTTTTCAAGAAGAGATTTTACAGTATGGCATTGTTTTGATTGAAATTTGCATGAGGAACGTCATTATTTGTAACGTAACGTTAAATGCTTTACATCGTTACGTGGTTAATAAATTCCATTGCAATCACATAAACTATTAAAAAAAAACCTTAAAATTGGAATAGAGAAGTATCTGATCAGCATCATGATAGTTTATCAATATATTATAAAAAGAAGACCTGTGTTGATTTCATGTTGCAATTTATGATAACTGCTCGCGAGTGTAAACTGGTTGCATTATATCCTATAGTACATGTAAGAATAATCGGTGTCCCCTAGACTGTGTATTATTTTAAGAAAGTACACATAAGTCCTAGTTATGTATAAAAGTATCTAATACTATAGACATATGACTTACTGCTACATACTACATTATTTTCTGATAAAATAAATTCTGGAAAGCTTTGTCTGATCTGGATAGAAATATAACTGCAAACAAACGTTTTCAAATGAAAGTGACGTCCAGTGCGGTAATTTCAAATCCCTTTCCTAGTGAGAATCTGAACCTATAAAGATCTTATTCTTATTAAATTCAAATTGAATTATTAGAGGAGAGTAGTTTTGTGAGTGTGAAGAACTTGTTTCTGATTCATATGTGCGTTTTGACAATGAAGTATATTTAAACAATTGAATGCCTCGCCGATTTTCTAAAAAAAAAAAAAAACTTACAGAATAATTTTGTTTTAAATACATACATGTATATACAGAACTGAACAAAAACTTTCTAGCCCTAAGTCTGAGATTTCTAGAGTTATATTATATCATAAGCCGCTAGAAATTATGGATATTTTTTATTTGATTCAAATTATGTGACGAGATCAAAAGTTTAATTTCTAACATTAAACTCAATTCACATAGTTTTCAACATAACCTCCCTTTCAAAACTAAATATGATAAATGTTGATTGAAATTTAATTATTACGTACTTTTTTTAATTATATTGTAAACAAATGTTATTTCTCTTGTTGATTCAAATAAATATTTACATAAAGTTCCCAGTACAATAATTATCGATGTTAGACAATAAAAAAAAAATCTTAACTCCCTCCCCTTATTACACATATATGAGTTCAGTTTTTTTTTCTATCAGGTATATATCTCGCCCTAAAAGCAGAATTATGAATTTTTTTTTTAAAATTATTTATTATGTACTATCACTTCCATTTTTTTTTTTTGGGGGGGGGGGGGGCTGTTGTAGCGGATTAACGTAACACACGCGTTTTAATTTCGAAACACATACATTAGAGTGTACTGCATAAGAAACTGCGCCTATGTTTATCCTTTGTTATATTGTTGAACAGTTCAAGCATTTAAATCAGTAAATGATTGTTGCTTGTCTCCAATATCACATTTATTTGTTTATAAAATAAATATATAATTTAAAATCGTTACGCACGGCCAGAAGAGTGATACCCGGGAAAGGGGAAGGGTCAAATTATGTTTGAACCCTTGCCTCTACTTTTTTATTCATTAAATAATCTTTTTGATCGCCCTTCTCCTCCTGCTCCTCTATTCAAAATTACCACCTTGCCACAATTTTAATAATTGAAGCCAAACCAGTTAAACTACCAGTCTTAGTGAATGTCCCAATTTTGCGTTTATTGTAGTTTTAAAATAGGTGGTATATAATATTGAGTGACAATAATGTATGTTTTGAACTATTCATATTTCAAAATTAAGCTTTATTTTTTTAGCTCACCTCGACGAAGTCGAGATGAGCTTATGCTGTACCCCCGGCGTCGGCGTTAGCGTCGGCTTCCTGGTTAAAGTTTTAGGAGCAAGTTCCATTCCCAAGTAACTATAAGCCCTACCTGGACCAAACTTGCATGGATGATGCATCTAGGGATGGACACTTCCACACTTGCTTCAGATGCTGGATCTGACCTAGATTTTCCAGATGAGTGACCAGGTTAAAGTTTTTGGAGCAGGTCCATTCCCAAGTAACTCTAAGCCCTACCTGGACCAAACTTGCATGGATGATGCATCTAGGGATGGACACTACCACACCTGCTTCGGATGCTGGATCTGACCTAGATTTTCCAGATGAGTGACCAGGTTAAAGTTTTTGGAGCAGGTCCATTCCCAAGTAACTATAAGCCCTACCTAGACCAAACTTGCATGGATGATGCATCTAGGGATGGACACTAACAAACCTGCTTCGGATGCTGGATCTGACCTAGATTTTCCAGATAAGTGACCAGGTTAAAGTTTTTGGAGCAGGTCCATTCCCAAGTAACTTTAAGCCCTACCTGGACCAAACTTGCATGGATGATGCATCTAGGGATGGACACTACCACGCCTGCTTCAGATGCTGGATCTGACCTAGATTTTCCAGATGAGTGACCAGGTTAAAGTTTTTGGAGCAAGTCCATTCCAAAGTAACTATAAGCCCTACCTGGACCAAAGTTTCATGGATGATGCATCTAGGGATGGACACTACCACGCCTGCTTTGGATGCTGGATCTGACCTAGATTTTCCAGATGAGTGACCAGGTTAAAGTTTTTGGAGCAGGTCCATTCCCAAGTAACTATAAGCCCTACCTGGACCAAACTTGCATGGATGATGCATCTAGGGATGGACACTACCACGCCTGCTTTGGATGCTGGATCTGACCTAGATTTTCCAGATGAGTGACCAGGTTAAAGTTTTTGGAGCAGGTCCATTCCCAAGTAACTATAAGCCCTATCTGGACCAAACTTGCATGGATGATGCATCTAGGGATGGACACTGCCACACTTGATTCGGATGCTGGATCTGACCTAGATTTTCCAGATGAGTGACCAGGTTAAAGTTTTTGGAGCAAGTCCATTCCCAAGTAACTATAAGCCCTACCTGGACCAAAGTTTCATGGATGATGCATCTAGGGATGGACATTACCACACTTGATTCAGATGCTGGATCTGATTTAGATTTTCCACATATGAGACCAGATTTAGATTTTGGAGCAGTCTCATTCCCAAGTGACTATAAGCCCTACCTGGACCAAACTTTCATGGATGATGCATCTAGGGATGTACACTAACAAACCTGCTTCGGATGCTGGATCAGACCTAGATTTTCCACATGAGTGAATTTTAGCAATATTTTAACTAAATTAGCATGGATGCTGTATCTAGGGATGAACACTTCCAGACTTTCTTTGGATTCTGAATCCGACTTACATTTTCTAGATGAGTGACCAGGATAATTTTTTTTTGGATTAGCTATATAAAATTATGGCCTGTTGTGATTAAACTTGCATAGATGGTGCATTCAAGGATGAAACTTCCAGACTTGCTTTGGATGTTGGAACTGACCAAAATTTTCTTGATTAGTAAACGGTTTTTTGAGCAGGTCTATTTCCAAGTAACAATAAGTCCTACTTAAACCAAACTTGCATGGATATTGATCTTGGGATGTACCCTAACTAGAAAAAAAATATGATGTGAAATTTGCCTTACATGTAGATAACATTCGTCAAGGTGAGCTTCGTAATCTTTGATTACCTATGTTTTTTGTCATCCCTTCAAGTAATATTTTTTACGTCACTTCCGCAGGGATTCCCTACTATTTATAGATAAAACTATTAATCATTTGAATCTTATTTCTTAACTTAATGATCTAATCTGTTAAAGCTTTCCGATCCATGCTTTGTCTGATAACCTTAGATGTAATTTAGAAAGCCGGTAGGCAAACCACCTAATAGCAAATGAGAGTCCAAAATACATGTATTGGAAAGGCATGACTGACATCGTAGTGTCGCTGTCTTTTACTTTATTTTATATAACCAATGTGTGCAAATCGTGAGTTAGATTTACTAAAAGTTTAACTCTTTTTTTTTCATTTTAATTGGATCACCTCGGTATTTTACCTCAAAATGCATTCAGATGTAACAGAATTTCGGACACATTTGACATTGGATCGGACACTTTTCTGTAGATATAAAATGATTCATACACGTATGCGTGGATCTGTACATAGAGGGGGTGGGGTCCGCAGTTATTCAATTTAAGAGTTATTTATTTCTATAATAAAGTAACCGATAGATGTCCTTCCACATAAGAAACACGGACTCCTGTCAGTTGGTAAGAAGAGTCTATATAGCGGCTTGTTCACGAGAAGTGTCTTCCGCTCGCACCCTTTTTCAGGAAATATGTTTTATTCCTTGTCAAAACATTTTCCGAGTTGTGTAATCCCCCCCACCCCCCACCCCCCTCGCATTGGAGAATTTTTTTTTTCCCTTTTCTATGTTCGTCAAAAAAAAAAAAAAAAAAGTCGTATTATATTTTTAAACGGGTGTGATCCCCTCTTTTGTTCAAACTTAAAAGTGTCTCTAAATGAGCTCTTTTCAAAAATGTTTAATACTTGTAGTATTAATCTATCGCTTCTTACACTAGAAAAAAAGGACATCGTAAAATAGGTAGGCTAATTATGTAGTATAGAAAGTCTATAGGAAAGGTTCTAAGAGGAAGTCTAAGACATCGTGAAAGGCTTATAAAGAAGAAAAAGAAGCTAAGACAAGAAAGAGAGAGAGAGAGAGAGAGAAGGGGGCTTAGTTTTTTAGTGCTTAGTGTTTTAGTGTTAGCTACATGTACATATTTTACTACAATTATTGATAATTAGATTGAGAACACAATTAACCGATCTTGAACACATATATACCATAGATTTCTTCATTTAAAATAGTGTGTGATGAACAAATCAAATTACTTCCGCTTCATGTACAAAACTCGCATGATTTTTGCGTATTTTATGTATTGTAGAAAATAACCTTTGAGTTTTTATTAATATAAATAATCTGCCAAAAAAATACGTTTTACATCTAGTACTGGCAACTAATTGGAAACTGGATCTCGACACTTTTCAATTATTTATTACATGTAATGAAATTATTTTGACAATCTTCTTCAAATTATCTGTGCTCAGATGCAATCAACGTCAAAAAGGTCAAATTATGACGTCATCGTCAATTGATGTACGTAAGCATGAATGAAAAGAACGTAATGTTAAATTTTATATGAAATAACAAATGTTAAATGTGATTTTAAGATATTCTACAACAAAATAAGATTAGGGATTACATAGTTATCAAAAATAAATCTTATATACTTATAACTAATTTCAGCTATTTACATATATAATGAACTCATAATTACTGTTAAAATGGAGGACCTTGTTTCAATTTCTGAAAGCTCAACTTTCATAAAATGTAAAATTCATACTGGCCACACGCGAGTACCTCTAAGATATTTTGCATAAAGATGCATATATGTAATATTTTTCTGTCTGCAAAGTTTGGAATTGGTACTTGAGTGTGGCCACATTCAAATTTTGAAATAACTACCGTAAAATCAACGTTTTTTTAGTAGTTTTTAAACTTCAGTGGTACATTTGATGCTGCGCATGTGCCAAAGACTGTGGCCTGTGTGGTAAAAATATGTATGTAGAGTAGCATGACACTGTGCACTATAATATAACATATGACAAGCTTTGTGATTTCAAACTTGAATTTTGTCTAAAATTTAAGGCACATTTTGATAGTTCGTGGCTCTAGCTCTTTGTATAAATTATGACCCTGTGGGATAGGATGAAGCCACAAATGGGGGATCAAAGTTTTACATAAGAATATATAGGAATCTTTAAACACCTTCTTTTCAAGAAAAAAAAAGCCAAGATCAGTCATATTGATATGGAAGCATCTTCAGATAGTTAAAATTCAAGTTTGTTCAAATCAAATGAGGGTAGGATGGGGCTAAAACAGGGGATCAAACTTTTACATAGGAATACAATCAATACATAGGAGAAAAAAATTGCTGCTGAAGAATGGCAGGGCCATATTGACTCAGGTGAGTGTTGTGGCCCATGGGCCTTTTGTCCTATGTGATTTTACTATAATATACAGTCAAACCTTGTTATCTCGAACTCCACAGGACCGAGAAAAAACTTCGAGATTTCTGAGGGTTTGAGATATCAAGGGTAAAATACTTAAGAAATATGTGGTTAGGACTTCCCAATCACTTCGACATATCCATGATATTCGAGATATCTGTGTTCGAGATACGAAAGTTCAAATGTACTATTTACAGCATATTCATGACTTTAGCAAGCAAATAAGAATATTGATATAAATTTAAATTTTCCCAGGGCTAAGAACTTTGAAAAAGGAGGAGACTATGACAAAACATGGAAGGCATCAGAGGATGGGAAAGTGAACACGAATGGTCCGAGGGTGATAGTCGGTGAGACTGCAGGACCACAGGGACCAATAATCACCAGGTATGTCTAATACAAAGTAAAAAAAGTATCTGCTGGACAATGTAACTTACTATACAGAGTAAATAAAATGTCTAAGGGCCATGTATAGGGACTCAGAAATTACCAGGTAGGTCAAATACAAGGAAATCATAATCACCTAATACAAAGGAAACAGAAAGTCTTCAGGACATCATGGACATAGGAACCCAATAATCACTACAAATAGGTCTGTTGAGACGTTTAAAGAAAAGTTTTGTGAATAGAGACCCAATAATCACTACAATAATCATTAGGCTGGTCTGATACAAAGTGAATAAAGGTTGACTGAACCACATGACCCAGTAGTCGCCAGATAGCTAGGTCATAGAGTAGCAAAATGTCTGCTGTTACCATAGAGATCCAATAATCATTAGGTTGGTCAAGGATAAAGTCTACAAGATGACAGGGAACCATCAATTTAAAAGCATATTCCGCATAGGAAGAACAACAAAGTACATGTCTAAAACATGTTCCTCTCAGAAATGTCAGAGAAATATCAAAATAATATTGATTTATATAATAATAGTTATGTTTTTATTTTTGGTAGAATTACCAATGTTGCTCTCAAAAATATCAGAGAAATATCAAAGTTACCTATAATCACTTTTTTTTTTATTTTCGTAGAATTACCAATGATGCTCGTGAGGATGAAATGGAAGAAAACTTGACACAAGTCAGTGGGATGCTGGGTAATCTTCGAAATATGGCTATAGACATGGGCAGTGAAATAGAATCCCAAAACAGACAAATTGACCGCATTAACAATAAGGTCAGTTACAGAATTGTCATACAGAAAATATGTGTATTCTTGTGAGACAGGAAGAAATCTTTGCAATGAAAAATTTCATTTTTGAAGACAAATTTTTCTGCAATTGTAAAATAGGTATAGTACATTGTGTATGTTTTTGCTGATCTGTTTTTTTATAGGGTGGATCCAATGTGGAGCGTATTATTGAGGCCAATAAACGAGCCAATCTTTTGCTAAAAGATTAACAGATGACTGAACAGTGTATTTATGTATAGTGTGTTATTTCTGTCAGGTCACAGCATCCTATACTTCTTCATTGATTTATTTAAAGTAAATAGGTGTTCAAGCAGCAGGAAACTAGAAGAAATAGCGGGAATGAATGAGGAACTTTGACATAAAACCTTATATCAATGAAGTTGTATTTCTGGAGCATAATCTCTAATTTTGTGTATCACTTTATCTTTTTCAGTGGCATGTAGAGTCAGCTCTGATTTTATTTATTTTTTTGCATGTAAACATATAAGGAATATGTACAGTGATAAATCAGTACATTACATAGGTGTTTTGAATGTACCTTGGAAAGCTTTGAGCAGGAGTGATGAGTACCTTAAAGGAATAATTTACTAAATATTTGGCTATTTGAGAGATTCCTACTTCTTATGATGTCTTTCTTATAATGCATGTAAAACATGTAGTATACAGTGTAATCAGATAATAAGAATTATTGAAGCGTGCCAGTTGAGATTGCTACTGTACATGTTCCTTAGATTGTTCACTTCTAGCCTAGGATCCGTCACCTTATGATTTATCACAGAAGATTTCCGATAGTAAGACTTCAGTTTGTGTCAATCCCACAATAGGATTTTATTTTGATTACTTCATCTCTTACAGCACATTTTGTGAAATCCTGCTTTTTTATGTATTTTATTTACAAATATTCCAATAGATGTCTTTTAAAGTTTTGCTTATACATACATAAATGTTTTTTACTTTTGCAAAGGTACTTAAAAAGTTATTATGTAATCACATATACATTTTGTATATAAATGCAAATTTAGACTCAAATTTTTAAAATATGTTCAGTTTTTCAGACTTTTATTATAGGACCTTAAATCATACATGATTTAACTAATTATATGGCAATGATATTTTCTTTTTAAATGTCATTCTCAAACTGAACATATATTCAAAATTTCCAAACTCCTCAGAGCTATGTGCATCATTAGATCTTTCTTATATGGTCATATATTTTTTAATTACATCAGAGATCAGTACTAACAGTATTTTCTTAGAAAATGAAAATGATATCTTTATTACAGTGTAGTATAGTCCTTATGAAATGTGTTGATGAATTAAAAAGCTTAATAAGGCAAGGTTCATGGTCATTTTTATAATCCAGCTGGATTAATATGACTAATCCTGGTTGTAGATTACTAATCCTCATTAACCTGTTCTGTTTTAATTACAGACCCAGTCAAATGAGTCCCGGATTCAGGGAGCTAACCAGAGGGCCAGAAAGATACTGAAAGATAATTAACTGTTGACATTGCATTCCTTTTTAAACTATTATAGATATATCATTATTTTCTCTTACTGCAATATCTACTTAAACACATGATTATTTTAATGTTACTACATGTAGATGCATAGTATATATGTATATTCTCAGTCATGTTCGACATTTCATCATTAAATGCAGAAAAGTTGTGATGCAGAATTTAAAAAATGAAATTCAAAGATTTGAAACTGTCCCTGGCATGGAGATATTCGTCGGTAGAGTTGGTTGTGTTTGTAGAGACACAGTTTTCAGTTGAAAAATGGATCTACATAGAAGAGAATTTCAAAGCTTTGCTTTACTTCCAAAAATTAAGATATACATTTAGCAGGTTTGACATTGATGTCATAAACACTAAACATATAATTAATTCCAAATATAGGTACAGGAAATATTAAAATATTTATGGAATTTCATAAAGAAAGAGAAACTTACCAGTACATGTAGATCCATATTTGTTGTGTATTATATGTTTCCTTAGTGTTCACTGAATTGTTTACATTAATTTTATTCCTTGAGGAGGAAGGCAGGAGTATGAATTATATTCACCTGTTGGCATTTTTCATCAACAAATAGTGAAAATAAAAATGAGAAACTGAAGTAAATTAATTTTTTCTGTTAGTTTTTCTCTTCTGAATTTAAGATGATTGGATCTGTCGGTGAATATAATAAATACTTCCATCTCTCTTTGTATTGAGATTATTTCTTGTCGTTATCCCTTTGTTACAATAGAGTAAAAACTGGAATGCCTTCTCTAGAAAATAGTTGCTTAATAGTGCTATTAAATGAAGAAAACCAGCAGAAAATGTAGTCCATTAAGACTTACTTACATTTGCAATGAAGTTGAATTGATAGGACCCACATACTAAATTGCCATTCTACAGAAGTCATTTCAGAATATATGTTTTCTCTAGTTAGCATGCTTGTTTTGTTTATTTACAAAAAGTATCAGACATCTTTCAGTGTAAAGCACTGCTTAGAAGTACATGTCTAACAATGGCTGTTCATACCTGATGTCTGAGTCTTTTTGAGTTAGATCTATATTGTCGTTTTTCCTTTTATAAAGCATGCATTTTATTTCTGTTTTTTGCACCACAGGGTGGATGTTTGAATGATCGTGTTGATGCTGCCAACAAAAGGGCGAACAAAATTCTTCGTAACCAATGATAACTCCTGGTCTTCATGTTTCGAAATTCTCCTCTCCAAGATGCCAAATCAAAAAGTTTACAAAACCATTCAGAAGGGTGGTCTGCCAGGGGGAGACAACTCATGAAGACAAATTACGCACTTGTAAATTGATTTTGTGCTCAAATGGAAGCTCTCAAGATTTTTAAACCATTTTGTTTTTTTAACATAAAAACTGGGGTATTATTAACTTTAAATGAGAGGATATCCCCCTTCTAAATCTATTGAACATATCTTTAATAACTTGGTTGTTTCCTTTAAGTTTATCCTTGTTTTCCATAAAGTTATAGAAAGCTGGACTTCTCCCTTTGTTCAATCATCAGTATAATTCTAATCTCTGACAGATTAATAATTAAAAAAAAAGAATTATCTTCAAATTTACATTGTTGTTGCATGCATAACTTTTCTGTGTCCAAGCTGCAAAATTTTAACACTGGGCATATATTGTGCAATATGCTAATTCCAATATTAATTTACATTTTGTATATATATATAGAATCATACATGTATATTCAATAAGATTCTGATTACCAGTAGTTGTTTCATATTGTGTATTTTCATCTCATGCACACATGATCTAAGTTTGTGTATCATTGATGTTCAATTTTCTCTCCATCCTTTTCTAGAACACCTAGCAGCTAGGTAGATATTACTGTTGTTATACTATCATTACTGTTTCACTTAAGCTCAAAAACAGCACTGCAGTTCATGACATCATGTGATAGGCACAAGTGTTTGAAATAAAAATTTCATGCTTGAAATCAATTTTTAATATTAAAAAAAAATCAACCTGAAAGGTCACAGTTGTGCATACAAATATGTTTTTGAATATAAAATTATTACAGTTCTGTAGCCTTAAAAAAAGATTAAAACTTTAATAGTTTGTGAACTAAAGAAATGTAATTTCATTTCACTCAAATTTTATAAGAATGTAGATGAAGATTTGTGTTTCATAGTTGTTTATGAAACAGAAACTGCTTTCAGTCACTGTTATAAGGAACTGGTTTTATCTTTGTGCTATACTCATGTTATATTATATTAATAAACATCTCATGAAGCAAACCTTTCTTGTGATGATTCAGTTATATTTCAAAGTTTGATTGCACCTTTAACTTTTAGTTTAAACATTGACAATGGGAGAGCTAAATTCATTACCTTTTCTCACAAAGAATTTCTTACAAATGTAATGGTTTGGGCCGTGGATATGGGCCCGAGGAGTAGGTAGAGCACCTGACTAAGAGATGCAGGGGTCCTCGCCTTGCATTTTCTCCTTTTCTGTTGCACGTAAAACTAAATTTAACTGCCTACAACGGTTTTGCAACTGTGTAAATTATTTAGCACAAAGTCAACAAGTTTTTTTACACTTTATTTCTCATTTTTAAAAACAACAGAAGGAAAAATACCCACTAGTAATGTTTGTTCTGTTTATATAATTAAACCACGTAACATATTTATTAATCATTTCTAGTCATTTTGCCAGAATATTTTTATCAATATGTGAGTGGGTTCACGGTATACAATATTATTTGTCATATTACATACAAATGGTAAAATTTAAAAACAAATAACTGAAGATAAAAATCATAGTATACATACATGTATATATATCTTTCAACATCTAATTAAACTCTAATCAAGGGACACAATTTGTCAGTTAAGTGAATGAACGGTGAGATTTTTTTAATCATGGTATTATTTTAAAGGGGTTTTCAAATAAAGAATTCTCAACTACAGGAATTCACAAAATTTTGATTATTGTCCATATAATTGCACCTTGAAATTTACATTAAAGTCTATGATAAGAATGTGTTTTATTAAGATATTGTAAAAAATAATTTTAATTTCATACTGATCTCTTTGTGAAAATATGCATAAACTGTCTATATAAATATGGAATAAAATGAATCATTTACTGCCAATATTTTGAAAAATTTTCATAAAGGGCAGATAACTCTTCAAAAATGTTTAAGTTGCAGAATGGCTTGCTTCTAATATGTTACCTGTCATGTGAATCTGGTTCATTTCTTAAGTAATACATACTTAAGCAGCATAAATAGATTCAAAATTGTTCAATTGTTCAAGGAGAACTAAAGTATTTATCGGGTAATATTCTCAGTTAAACTTTTTCTTTGTTTCTGTGTACCTATCCATATACTGAAAAAAAAAAAAAACCAGAATTAGAATCTTGACTCTATCACTGAAATACCTTTTTAGCTCACCTGAGCTGAAAGCTCATGAACTGGTCTGTTCACATTTTGTCAGATGTTTGTGTGGTTGTCTGTCTGTAAACTTTTCACATTTCTACTATTCTCAAGAATTGCTGGCCCACTTACAACTAAACTTGGCACAGAGTATTCTTGGGTAAAGGGGATTTGATCAGATGGAGGGCCACACCTTTTTCCAAAAGGAGATAATTAAGAATTAGTGAAAATTTAATGGCATCTTTCAAAACTACTGGGCCAGAAAAGATGAAACTTGGATAAACTGGGGGGGGGGGGGGGGGGGGGGGGGCACACTGGGCAATCAATGTCTTCTTCTCAAGGACAACAAAGCCATGATTGGTCATATTAATATGGAAGCAGCCTCAAGTAGTGTAGATTCAAGTTTCGCAAATTATGACCCCTTGGGGTCAAGTGGGGCCACAATATATAATAAATGTTTTACATACAAAAATATAGAGGAAACAATCTTCAAAAACCTTTTCTCAAGAATACAGGCATGATTGGTTATGTTAATATGCAAGCATCTTAACGTAGGTCGCGGGTTTGCAGGTCATTTAAAAGTGTCCGAAAACATACCATGAAAAATAGTTATATGAATCCTCTACCTTCGTTTTATATTCTCTGAAAATTTTAAAAAATTCGTCTGCATCGTTTTTGTGTAATTAAATCCCAAACATGCCATTGTTGTCGTTACATTTTCGATGTTATTCTATTGAATTATATAAGAAAAACGTCGTTTTCGGCTTGTTTTGAGGCAAGATTTTGTTTAAAAAAATATCAATAACTTTTATAAGGTGCAGACGAAATTGTTTTCCCTTTGGTACTTTAACAAAGAATTGATTTGAAATAAATCAATGTGAAAAAATTAATGTCTTCGGGTTAGTTTTCGCGTAATTTAAATGTGGATAATTGCTTTTATATCGCAAAATGTTACATTTTTTAAGAACGACGTCATAAAATATGGCGACGTCATGCTTGACGTCGTGAATATCCATCCGGTATTCAGTGCAGAAAAATAAGCTAAAATAATTTTTATAAAAAAGAAATTCACGTCTATCTGCTTTCAAGTGACCCGTGAATCGTATCATAATAATTCAATAACAATGAAATGATTATTAGACATGTTTCTCTTCAGATTAGGTTTTTTGTATGTCTTATAGTAGTGAAAATTCTCGCAAGGGACGTAAAACAATGAATCCTTTACTTTCTTCCAATTTACTTTCTTCATGTGTTGTTTTCTTTCCGTTTCTTTTCTGTTTGTTTTGTTTTGCTTTTTTTCATAGATTAGACGTATCCTTACATTTGGCTGTGTATTTTTCTTTTCAAGCGTGCTGGCGGAAAACGGTATCCTTTAATTCAAGTAATTCAAGTATATAACATGTTTTTATTTAGACCATTCAGCAAGGTGCTCAAATCTACGAATTTCTGCCTAATATCGTCCCGGCTAAATACAATTTATTTTCAGTATATATTTAAACAAAATTTTTATTTTTACATACCACATTTTCAGAGGGGTAAGTGGGACGAGGATTTAAAAACTATTTTTATCTGATGTAATCAACAGCCAGTTTTTTAAGATTTTGGAAATAATCTGTCCTCGAAAATGTTGAAAAAAAAATAATCTGTCCTCGACTGGGCAAGAAAATAAATAATCTGTCCAAAACCAGTTCTAGCACCCCCCCCCCCCCCCCCCTGTATGGGAGTTTTCAACTTTGTTTTTTTTTTTCCAGACTTTTTCAGTGAAGAAGAAATAAATAGTCTGTCCTTTTTTTTTTGGAAATAAATAATCTGTCCTTCACCGACATGAAAATAAACAATCTGACTCGGTAAAATTTGCCACACTCACACCCTCTCCCTCAGAATCAAATAGTTGTCCCCTAACAGGAGGTCAGTGTCGCTAAAAATTGTCTTAATGTTTCATCGTACCTTAGCAGTACTTATTCAATTTATGATAAACTTGTACATCTATATATTTTAAAAAATATCCTGTTTAAAAATAAAGTTTAATCGTTTGATGTAACAGGTGTGTTTACATTTTTTTCTTTTAAATAATGGCTTCTTTCTTAATAAAACAAACTGATAATTCAAATACGATCAAAGGAAAGAAGGTCATTTGAACCTTGTGCCCATATCGTTTCGCGAAACCAAGTGAAAACAAATCAATCGCAATTTCTCGGGCCTTTCCGACAAGCCAAAAACAACCACTTGTCTTTCCAAGCTTGCAGGAAAGGCCCAAAAAGATGCAATTGATAACAAATAATTAAACTTTTTTTTAATATTTTCAGTGTCGATCATTCGAATCGTAATAAGCCTTCTTCACAAAATTACCAATTCAAACAAAAGTTTTATCTAAGTATTGTATCGACTACACAAATCGTAAAAAGCCTTCATTATTTGTGATAAGTTGTTGCTTAAACAATATAACACTAAACTACCAATTCCAAAAAAAGTTATAGCTGAATAATGATATACTGAAGAATATCATCGCAGATTTCTTTTTCATTGTGACGTCATAATCAAATGTGCACAAGAAAGACGCCCAAATCATATAAATTGCGTACCCAGTTTTAACGACGTCAGCAAACACGTGACCTACGTTAAGGTAGTGTAGATTCAACTTTGTTCAAAATATGACCCTTGCGGGTAGACTGGGCCACAATGGGCAATCAAAGTTTTACATTAGAATGGATAGCAAAAGATCTTTCTCTCAAGAACAGCAAAGCTATGATTAGTCATATTTATATAGAAGCATCTCAAGGTAGTGTAAATTCAAATCATGACCTCCAGGGGTGGGGTTGGGCCAGAATAGAAGGTCACAGTTTTACATAGGAATATATAGGTGGAAAAATCTGAGGATGAAGAGCATGATCATAGTGACTCAAGTGAGCATTATGGCCCATGGGCCTCTTTGTAAACTCCTAATTATTCATTCTATGTTATAAGAACTTTCTCAGATTGTGCTTTTAAAAGTCTACAAATTGTATAGAGAAATTAAACTTTCATTATAATACTGAATAAATTTTCCATTAAAATGCAATACATTTGATGAAATTTCTTATTATGAAGCAATTTTCACAATATTACCTCTTCATAGCCTTCCAAGTTGTGAAAAGATTTCATGTCAAACACATTCCCCTCAACAGCAAAGAGAGCTATCTTTGATTCCTTCAGGATTTTAGGTGTAAATGCAGAAATATCTAAACAGTTCTCCTCTAATCGCAAGACCTTTAACCTTGGACACTGGGAAATACTCTCCGACAGACGAGAAATCTGACAAAAACAATCACACATTACACTACCATGTATTACAGTTCTGAAACGTTTACTGAATGCTTTCAGCAACATGCAACCTGAATTCATGCTACATATGTTGTATGGTTTTTAAAGCAATTAATACAGAAATTAAGTATGATCATCAACTTGAAAAAATTACATCATACAGACATTGTTGAAGAATGACTGCCATGGAATTTACACACAAAACATAATTTATCAGTACTGAGTAAAAACCTATTCCAGATCAATATTTTTACCTGGTTTTGATTTAAGTTGAGCTCAATAGCTTGGCATGTGCTGACGGATTCAGGAATTTCTGTTATTCTATTCCTTGACAAATTAACAGCATCAAGATTTTTAAGGGTATTGAGCGACTCTGGAAAGCATGTGATTTTATTCTCTGAAACATTCAGAGTTCGTAAGTTTGACAACTGTGACAAAGACTCTGGAAGTCTCGTTAGACTATTACCATCCAATGATAAGCTTTCTAATTTCTTCAAATGCCCTATTTCTTCTGCTAAAACTTCTGAAAAAATAAAAAATAACTTTATAATGAATGAAAACTTATTTATAATTCAAGAACAAGCCTGATAGATTTCTATTGTACCTAGTTTGTTCCTGGACAGCACAAGATTCTTCAGGAGTGAAAAGGAGCCTATAGAGGGAGGTAACTCAGGAAGCTTGTTATCAGATAAATCTAGGGTCCTCAGATTCTTTGTGAGCTTTTGCAGATCCTTTGGAAACTAAAAACAAATATAGAAAGTACTTTTATTGAAATAGTCATGATTTTCCAAGAGAGAATCTTCGCACTGTTCCAATTTTTTTTCATATAGACTGAAGAGGTACTCAAAAGTTCTAATTTCACAAGAAAATATTTCAATCTGCATTTAAGTTTAAAAAATATGGAAAAGTATAATATTCCACTTTGAGATGTAGCATGTTATAACTTTAATCCACAAAGGCTTTAAGTGTCCACTTCTCCAAAGAGAATACATTTACTGATACCATATACATTTCTAATTAAAAACCTTATAAAAATCTAAAATAATGTTTAACATCCAGTTATCTTCAGAACTGTTGCATTATGGTTTTACATTTTAGTCTTTGAACATAACACTACAGATCCCGTTATGCAAATAAAGTGCAATTTACAGTGCAAGATTTCCTGTGCATGGTTGGAGATGTATTTCTCCACTTTCCAGCATTGGTCAATCAACTACCTTTCATTCCTCAATTCTAGACATATTCTATAACCAACCTGTATATTTTATTTACCCTTTATAGTTGTAGCTACAGACATCTTTAGTGAGATATCGTCAGTAAGTCAACATGGCTGTCTGAAGACAGAAAATTCAAAACAAGTGAATTTATTGGTCTGTAGATACGACTATAAAGGGTTAGGAGGTAAATAAAATAAAATATACAGGTTGGTTATAGAATATGTCTAGAATTAAGGAATGAAAGGTAGTTGATTGACCAATGCTGTGAAGTGGACAAATACATCTCCAACCAAGCGCAGAAGATCTTGCACCATAAATTGCACTTTCTTTGCCTTACGGGATCTGTAGCATTATCGTCGAAGACTAAAATGTAAAATCATAATGCTAGTTAAGGTTTTGCAGCTAACGTCCGGTGTGCTATAACTTAAAAAAAAATTGGCTATTAAGTCTAATGTCTGTACTTTAAACCTAAACAGATTTCATATCTTTATCTTCTTTAAATTCATCACTCATAGAAGCAGGTTATCATGGTTATGAAGATCTGAAACAGATAGCTAATATGATTAACAGGGTGGTACGTAGTTTCAGTTGATTGAGTTGAAGTCTTTAACTTCGTTTACTATACCTCTTTCAATCCAGCTTTACATAGCTGAAAGGCACCTGTTTTCTGTGCGGTCTCAATATGCTGTGTTATGTTCGAATTTCCCATTCTTAATAAACTTAAGTTACATTATAAATGCAGAGAAAACAACCTGAAATTAACACGGAAGTAAATGTAATAAATTAAATTTGAAATCGAAACAACTATAATATTTCCGTTAAATGAAAAAGTGCCTTGTATTTGTGCATGTAAATATAAAATATACATTTAGATCTATACTTGATATCAAATTATACAACAAAGATACGTCTATAAAATTTAAAGAGTTTTATAAACATAATTCTGGTAAATTTTTAGTATTATTTGTATCCGGATTCCCCTTGCTACGTTTCCAGTTATTTTAATAGGCGCTACTTTCATTTTAACTCTTGAAAAATGGCAACGTCTGCTAGTAGAATCAAAAATGTTATTTTAACAGGAAGACCAGGTTAAAAGATCTTAAGTTATCATTATTGAAGAATTGGTGCACAAGTATAATGTTAAAACTAAACATTATTTCGTTCGATTCGCTCTGTTGCAGAGACTTTGCTTTATTGGGAGTATGTAGAGCATAATTATTAACTGATTAACAAAACAAACCATTGCATTCATGCATGATATTTTTACATACCATACCACTTTTAGGAATAGGAAAAACAACTCTTATAAAGAAAATCCACAGTGCTCTTAGTGATTCTGGACTGAAGGCGAGTGGGTTCTACACAGAGGAGCTGCGATCAGATGGACAGCGGTTAGGATTTGATGTGGTTACCTTGGATGGTAACAGAGGACCACTGGCGAGAATACAAGACACTGAAAGGTTTCTTTCATTCTCATAATTATTAATGTTACGGTGTCTTATTATAAATCTGGAGCATGGAAATATAAATAAGTCCGTTTCAGGGTTCTACTGACATCTCCATTTATTACATACACAGATGAACACATAAGATAGTTGGAATAATGGAACAATGAAGGAATATTTGGAATAATGCCCTGAAAAATCATAATAACAAATAATAAACACATAGCATAAAATATTCTGATATATCCGTATCAATATAGTAATTACAATCTGCGGTTAACAGATACGCTGCATAAAGATAGGTAACTCTGTACATGATTTACATACAATCAGTGCCCCCTTTTAATATTACGCTTTGAAAAATATAAAAACATTAGTACAGGGATCGACATTAACGGTTGTCCGATTGCCCGTGACAAGTAAATTCTCAGTTCGGGCAAGTGAATCTTACGACGTACCTGTCTGATCGGGCAAGTGATTTTTTTCTCATAGAAATGTACATATTTATTTAGTTCACATTAATTTATATAAAAAAACAATAAATTGAAGACTTGATTCCTGCCAGGTACTGACTGACTGACATTGTTTTTGCATTCGGAATTCCTTGTCGCAATTTCTGGATTATACCTTTCATTTGAAAATCAGGTTCGTTATTGCGTTTTTTTCCCTGGTAAATGTGCTGTTCGTCTAACATCTAAAATGTTAACTTATTTGGAAATTAGATTATTTATTCACTCACAGAATATAAGTACAGTACATGTAACACGATGTATCCTGAACAAAGTAAAGATCGATGTAGCAACTATCTTCCTTCAGCGTTGTTTCACAGTTATCTCAGCAAATCATGATTCACAAAAGAATCCTACCGAAAATAATTTTTAAAAATATGAATTTTATTAGACGGAGGGTTATTGCTATATGGCAGTGTGTGTTAACAGGTTATATTTACAAGGACAGTGGTATAATACATTTATGTACAAATGCAGCATCGAAATTTACCTCACCTTGCCAAATTGACAGTAGTGTATTTGGTCACATTTTTTCTTGTCATAACATTTACAGTGATAAAAAAATTCTTCTGATTCAGAAGTTCTTTCCTTATTTTGGGCAACAAAGTTTTGCATTCGGACAAGTCAAAGTTTGAGATCACTTGCCCGAAGGGCAAGTAAATCTGAAAGTTAATGTCTATCCCTGTAATATCATAAATATCATACCAATCTATAAGACTGAGCCTCTCCCATTAATTGTAGTCACAATATGGCTCACTGTACACATATGTCCAGATCATAAAACTACAAATTATCATAGCTTACATAAGTAAACCTATCATCGTAAATATATAGTAGATATATATAAAATAAAAAATACTTTCAATAAAACAGTTACTCCTTAATTACTGTCTCTCAAATCAGATTCTGACTGTGCTAGTGCTTTGGAATTAATTTTGGCAAAATTACAGATTTTACAGTTAATTCAAATATTAGAAATCATATTAAAATTAGTATATAAATGTTATCTTACCTTAATAGAGAAAAGTATTGTCTCTGTCAATGTCAGAAGTCGTAATTATAAAACTTTGTAAATACAACCCTCTCTGGACAAATACTGGACAAAGAATGACCATAACAAACAACAACTTTTTGGAGGGAAAAATACTGAACCAATAAAACACAACCTTACAAAGTCCAAACCAATGAAAACAGTGAATACTTCAAACCAAAGACCAAAGACCAGAACCTTCATAACCCAAGGCAATAATAATTAAGTACAGGTACTGCCTGTTCTACATGGGTGACCTTTAAAGATTTAATAATGCATTTATATTTACAATTTAAACATATGAAATCCATTATAGATTTATTAAATAAATTAATAAATCTAATACTGTAACATTAATATTTTTCTTCATAGTTACTTGTGTAGTTTTGCATAATTTACCATAATAGCTTAAGTTATATGTGAAAAATTTAAATAATTAACAACAGGGGTTCAAATTTTTTTTTTTTTTTTTTTTTTTTTTGATGCTCAAGTTCTGGACTTGAAGGTTGAATTTTAGGCAAGTCCCGAGAAAGAAATGTTCAAGTCCACATTGATAGCATTATTTTGAGATAAATAAGTACAACTTATTTGATATGAATGCATAAAAACAAACTGTAACTGCATATCTTTATATTTTTTTCTCCATACATAAAATATACCATAACATCAGCACACAAATGGATCTAAAAATTACAGCCTATTTTCTTTTTCAACTTATTATTTTTATCACTCAGAGGTAACATTGCTGTCATAAAGAGGCTTAATTCTTACTCATGTGTTACATGCAGTTCGTTGGACTTTTAAACCAAACTAAACTCCTGACAACCCAACACTAGATAGAACGTTCTATCGTTAAAATGATATTGTCCTACGGACCCGGTTTAACGATAGAATTCGTTCCGTGTATTGGCTATGTGGCAAAATAAACACGGGCGATAACTCGTACTCTGATGGAAGCTTGTGAAATTGAGTAAATGTGGGTCATTTCATAACAGAAAATAAAAAAAGACGAATTGTAATTTTGAGAACACTCAAACTATTGGAATAAAAATTTCCCCAAATTATACTTTTATGAAATATTCAAGAGATGTTAATACAATATGAGATTTTTTAATCGATGTTTCTGAGGTTTATAAACTCATTAATTATAATAATGCCAAGTCCTCTGACTTTTGGCAATTTTAAATGCTGAGTCCGAAACCGAATTTGCCAAACATCGGACATTGGGCTTGAGGCATTTTGAACCTCTGGAAAAGCCGGTTACCTTTTTCAATTTACTGGTATATACTGCATGTGTACATAAATTGGGGTATTAAAAATTTAGCGCAATCACCGGGTATGGAGTTGTTGGCAAAATCATGAATTAGTGCTATATATGGCCCTGTCGTGTATTGTATTTATAAAAGATTTCTTAGCGGTATTCATGAATTGGCACATCGGTGTCTGCAAGAAAGCCGCTAAAATATGAAGCCCGCTTTTTTAATTAAGTACACATACAGTAATTGATAGTAGCAATATTGACAGTACCGGTACATAGTTTGATCTATCATAAAGTGTTGTTTGCCATTTTCTTGCACAATCTTATGCAATGTAAATTATGATGAATTTTATATATCTTTATTCATTCTGAGGTATTTATTATCAATATAAAGCTGTTTTTTTTAATTGCTTTCAGCCTAACATACATGTATATTTGATTGAATGATTTTTATTTGGAATTTCCAATATTTTACCAATTTGTGGTAATACCTCGAGATATATATATTTTCTTTTGTGCATTTTTTCTAAGTAAATTTCTTTATTCATTGTTTTTGAATTGATTCTTGTTATCAATATGTATGAATTGGTAATTAATCTAATATTTGCATATTATAGTATTTAAAGCAATATCATCATTAACAGTGGCAGTGTTTCACATAAAAGGAGCCATTTTGTCGGTAAATATGAAGTGAAAGTCACTTCATTTGAAAACCTTGCTCTCCCGGCCTTGAGGATACCAAAAAATCTGCAGGTAATGATATGCTGAAGTTTATGATTGTACCTTGGCTTCATTGCAGAAAGAGATTTAGCCTTTTCCAAAAAATCATTACCTGAACAATGTTTACTGTTTACAGGTAACATTTATCTTAATGAACCAGACAACAAATGTTCACATAAAAAAAGAAAACAAAGTTAAAATAAAAAATATTGATACAGTGTATAGCCAATAGTGAAAATGTATATTCTTAAATTATCAGGCAGATACTGGACATTCTCAAATTTTTATCATTGATGAGATTGGTAAAATGGAACTCTTTAGTCAAACATTTGTGACCATGGTGAGGGAACTTCTAAAGAATCCCAGCTCTTTCATCATAGCCACAATACCAATACCTAAAGGCAGACCAATTCCTTTTGTGGAAGAAATCAGGAACCACAATCAGACACAACTCTTCACAGTAAGGATTTGTATTAAGTGTTCTTAGTAAGAATTTGTCTCCCTTGTTCATGCTAAAGATTTCTTTTGAGGACCCAGCTTAATGATCATTACAAATATGTCTGTCTCCTATATAGGAAGATAGACAGGATCCGATGATTCCTATGAACCACAGTGCTCAAATGAGTGGCATCAACATTCATCACATTGACTGTAATGGATATTAATTTAGGAATGACTCTAATTCTTGGCCAAATTATTCGAGTATAACCTGGTTTGGGTCAGTTTATGCTTTATAATCCACGAAGCGGATTATAAAACAGCGTAAACTGACCCAAACCAGGTTATACTCGATTAATTTGGCCAAAAATTAGAGTCATTCCTTATAATTTAATTTTAAAATCATTAAATAACTATGGGTGTAAAATTTCATTGCTTTTTATTAGTTCAAATTTGCCGCTCAGTATTACAAACGTAGTAACAGAAGTGATGAGAAGCGAGGGGAGGTAAAAACTGATACATAGGCCTAGCAGCCTTGTTGTTTGTTTACATGTGGTAAGATTGAATTATTGTTTGAAGTTAAAGGTATATTTATTAAATCTGGAATTTTACATGAATCTCGAGGACTGGAAATGAGAGGATTGTATGGAAACAGATGATTCAACTGGTTGTCAGGGGTGTGTGTCCCCATACCAAACCAGGTTATACAGAAATAATTTGTGTTCCTTTTTGGATATTAACCAATCAGAGGGTAGAATACAAACAAAATTAAATTATATCAAAATATGATGCTTAGGGATGTCAGGAGTACCCGAAATAACCAAGAACTGCGGTCCAAATTGTTTGGTTCGGTTCCGGTTCCATTTTTCCTGATTTCGGTTCGGGTCTGGTTTATATATTAGAGTCTGTTCAATACAAAAAATGGTGTCGAAATCAAAGGAATGATGACAATAACAGTGATAAATAAACATCACAACTGAAATCTACTTCATTCCATGACAAAACACTTGTCAAGGAAGTATTAGATAATTATCAAAACGAGCAGGAATGGTCAGGTTGTGGCTAATAGTAGGCCAAGTCACTGATGTCTAGACTCACATGGTTAAGACTTGTTTCCAATGTAAATTTAATGTAACAAATAAAGATTTTTCAAGCTAAATTCATGAAATTAAGGTTTAAAATACCCGACCCGAAAAACCCGAAACCAAACCGAAAATTTACAGAACCGACCCGACCCAAAAAATTTTGGAACCGTGACAGCCCTAATGATGCTAGAGCAAATCAAGATTCTGGAAATACACCTAAATGAACAGTGACAATAATACTGTAACAGTAAATGTACTTATTTTAGCAATAATCATATTTTAGCGCCTTTTATGTACTGGTAAAGGCTAATACTTGATTTAATCAGTACTTGTCGTTGTACTAATCAGCCGAGGAGGACTGTACTAAATTTTGTGTACATTAATTTACCTATGTACATTAACAGTATGAGATTATGAACAACTACTTGTACAAAGATGTTAATAAAGGTTAAATCCTTCTCCAAGCCATAAGGTTGGGGCATATAAAAATTTTCTGTGGTGCTAAGCAGATTAGAGAATTGACTCCCCCTGGATGGGACACTAGTCCATCGCAGGTTACTGTGGAATCATTAAAATTCATGAGCGCCAATTTTCGTGGATTGTGTAAATTTTATAGATTTGTGGGGACATAATTTCGTGTATGACTTTGAAACCCTAATTTATTAATTTGTGGAGGATGTAAATTTGTGGATGAGAGGTACCCATGAATTCCACGAATATTGAGTCACCACAAAATCTATTGATTCCATAGTAACTCCCAGTGTTGGCTGGTACCCATTGAAGCTGGGTGGACTGAGACAATGCGTATAAAATGCCTATAGTCTCCAATAAACAATGAATACAATAAACAACAAAAATATCATTATTTTCCCCCAAAAATATTTATAACTGCCAATCAGCAAAGTTCATCTGTTCATCTGTACAGAAATTCGACGATTAACTAATTGAGTCAAAGGCAAGTACATTTTCATGAAAATTTATTTTGGGTCTTTAGTAGATTTAAAGTCGATCAGAGGTTGATTTTGGGTTAAGAGAAATATTTTATGTTGTTGTTATTCTGGGTGAGGCGCGCGCATGTGTGTGTAAGGGGGAGGGTCGTAAAAATGTACAATAACTTTTTTGACTTTACATTTATTAGTTAACAGAATTTTATTTGATAACTGCATGTGAAAATAAAGCATTACTCGAGAAAAAAAATGATAAGAGAAAAACGACACTTATCAAAAACATATTTGCTGCATACACTATAAGGAATGTCAAAAATTGTGGTTTTAATATATTTTATCATAGTTGTGCAAGGTCATTTCATTTCTTAAAATAAGGTAGCAATGCTCAATAAATGTATAACTTGTATAATTATACTGTAAAAAGAAAGAAATATCGTTTTCTTATAATTTCATAAAGTATTATCTGTTAATTGGATTTTAAAATATATTGCATCATGTCATGAAATTGACATCAGAAATCAAATGGAAATTTAAATTTCTGTTTCTAAATAGACATTTCATTTTTCATCACTAAAGCAATGCCCATTAGCTAAGCTTGGACAACCATCAACTCGTATCAGTCCTTTCAGTACTTTGATTAAAAGAAACTTCTGATGACTTTGTTGGAAGAGGCAAATCTTGAGGAGGAGGGGGAGGAGAGGGAAGAGGAGGAGAGTCCTGAGGAGGAGGAGGAGGGGTAATCACCTCCTGACGATGAGGATATGCATGAGTGGTCTGAGGATATGGTTGGCTTTTTCCATGAGCAATACGTTCATGCCTCCTCATGTTATCGTACCTAGAAAATTTACGCTGGCAGACAGAGCATGATATTGACCGCATGGTTGTCTTGGACAAAATGAATGAATCTTCACTTTATCCTCTTATATATCCTGTAATTCATACTCCTTAACCCAGGAATTAATTTTTTTTATATCCCTGCCATTTGATCAACACTTTCGTCTGGCGTCTGGACATGCGTCTTTTTAACTCTTTTAGCATTTTTTTTCTATTTTCCTATTGTGATAATATCAGGAAAATAGAAAAATGATTACAGAAGAAATTAATTCAGATACAGTTATCAACCCCCGGGAAAGAACTCTTTTGATCATTGACGACATGATGAAGGATGCAACCCAGGACAAGGAGATCTGTGAGCTGTTTACAGAAGGTGCACACCATCGCAACCTAAGTGTGATCTGTATCATGCAGAATTTGTTCAACAAAGGGAAAGAAAATCGAACCATGAGTTTAAACAGTCAGTACATAGTTCTGTTTAAAAATCCCAGAGATAGACAACAGATCGGAATCCTAGCACGGCAGATGTACCCAGGAAATTCTAAGAAGCTTCTAGACGTTTATGAAAAAGCTGTATCAATTCCATACGGAGCATTAGTGTTAGATTTAAAGCAAATGACCCCGGAATCAAAGCGATTCAAGACGGACATATTTGAACCATATATAAGAGCGCGAGACTACTTTGGATATCATTTGAAAGCAGAACATCAAACACAGAAGACGTTTCCAGGTTATCCGTCGTACTATCAAACTCTTCACACCGACGATCAAAGCGAGGAGATGTATGGAACGCCATAGCTGCCTGAAGGTCATTTTCATTTTATATGAGGTGGTATAACCTTTATGTGAAGTGGTTAAGTCATTATATATAGTGGTAAAATCATTATATTCAATGAAAACTTTATTATATGCAGTGGTTTTATCTTTATATACAGTGATAAAATCATTATATACAGTGATAAAATCATTATATTCATTGATAACTTTATTGTATGCAGTGGTTTTATCATTATATTCAGTGGCAATGTCATTATATGTAGTGGTTAAATAATGTAATGAAGTGATAGTACCGTTACATTATGCTGTAAAATCATTATATGCAGTGGTTTTTCCATTATATACATTACTGATATCTTTCTGTGATGTGATGAATTCAATATATACAGTACAAACATAATTTGTATGATAAAGCAATCATTACATTGTATGAAACCCGCTGCATGTGGAGTGCCAAGTTAATTTCATTCAGTGCGACACCTTTACATGAAGTGAAAAATCTATTATGTGCAGTACTAACATCATTATATTATATAGTAAAATTATTATATATATTCCTAAAAATCATACTTTGCAGTGGTAACATCTTTATATGAGGGGGTTAATTAATTATATGATGTTGTTAATTTGTTATATGATGTGGTCAATTCTTTTTCTGCATTAGTCGTTTCATGTTATGCAGTGGTAACTTCTTTATCATCATCTAAACTGGTCCTCTTGCAAAAACATTTTTAGAAATACGCGGAGTTCCAGTTTAAAGAGTGTTTGAAAATAGGAAACCCGGGCCGTGGCAAAATAAAAGCCGGGACTATTCGAGATTTTTCAAATTTCTGATTTAAAATTTTTAGACTCTTTTTTTAGGCTAATGTGTTTTCGCTGTAAAAATTATACTTGGTATTTTAGATTTTATTTACGATTTTTGGTTTCAAGTAAAATTGGTAGGCAGTTTCAATTTTCTGATTTAATATTTTATCCATTGTGCTATAAGTACTTAGTATTTTAGATTATTTTTTTTTGGCGATTGTTGATTTCCATGTTGGTAAAATGGGTAGACTGGGTTGGCGATATTTTATGTGTGTGTGTGTGTTTTTTTTTTTTTTTTTTTTTTTTTTTTTTTGGCATATTTGATAAAAATCTAATAAACTTAAAAATTATTCCGATGTTAAACACTGTATTTTAACTTAAAAAATTTTTTTTCTTTTTGATAGTTATTTCTTTATTTGAAAATGCTATTTTTATTCAAAATACACATTTTCATTAAAAAAACGATTATTAAACCAGATCCGATCATCCGGGAAGAACCTGGTGCAAAACACCATAAATCATTTCTAATTTCATAATATGCAAATGTGCACTGGTACATGTATCTATATGTTAGT